AGACCCTACCTAAACCCCCAAAATATGTAAAATAACGGCCCTAAACCCATAATAATAGCCCTGAAGGCAATTATTTTACATACTCTTGGGGTCCAGGTAAACCCTCAACACGGCAAACCGGGGCCTTAGAGTCAGCAGCACGCGCCACTTCTGTACCATGCGTCTTGGGCCTCAGCTGGATACCTGGAAGGCTGATAGGGATTGTTGGTTTAGGGTTTAGGGTTTAGGGTTTAGGTTAAGGCTTGAAATTGGGGGCCGGCTTTGGGAGGCCTTATGATAAGGAAGCTAAAATGTTGAGGTCCATTGCGGCCACTTACTTGCCCAACCCCCTACCAAAGATTTCTTTACACATTATACGCATATTTACATGTACACCAGAGGTGTAAGCTTGCAAAACAAATGGTCACTGGATGTCATTTTCAAGCTCGCTTTTACTTTTCTTTCCCAGCACATCATGGGCTCCCCTACCACCCTCGCGGTATATTACCTCCGCGCTCAATAAACGTTGAAGCAGCCCAATCAGGAGGAGCTTCCAGGGCCATAGTATAAGGCCGGGGGGAGCCTGAAACCTAAGCCCGAAGCCCTGAACCCCAAACCCTAAACTGTTCAACAATTGGAAACCCATAAAGAGGACCCCCAAACCTAAACCCTAAACCCCAGCCCCAGACCCTAAACCTGTCGAACAGTTGGGGAACCAATCTTACAGGTTGTGAGTAAGGGATAAGGAATATGGGGATTTCCCAACATGAGGGGTACCTTTTTGGGGGTTCCCCATAATAAGGATTATAATATTTTGGGGTCTATATTGGGTTCCCCTTATCTTGGGAAACTACCATATAGTCCCTGTATAATTCCCATACCGTATATGGCTGCTGGCCTGGACTGGACGACGCCTTTGCCGGCTTGCTGAAGACAGGCTGACTTGCCTGAGTTGGTGTGAGCAACATAAAACTGGGACTACCTAAACCCCTAAAATAATAGCCCTAAACCCCTAATAATAGCCATAAAGGCCATTATTTAACATACTTTTGGAGGTCCAGGTAAGGTTTAGGGTTCAGGGTTCGGGGTTGATGGCTCCAGGCTTCAAGCCACCATCATAGAGAACCAAATGGAAGAGAACCTGGACAATGACAGAGAAACTGAGGATGTGCAGGGGTTATGTTACATAGATGCGTAAGCAGCTGAAATGTCATTTAGCATTGCAAGGAAAAAGCCTAAACGTCTATGTGCCCATACCGTGGTAACTGCATTAGAGTTCCTGAAAACCCAGATTCCAAGACAACAATACCAACAGTACCAAACGGGAGCTTGACTCATACTAGTAAAACTATAGGGGAGGTATTCTTTATACCTGGGTTAGGAACTTGAGTGTTAAATACCCTAAACCCTAAACCCTAAAGCCTAAACCCCAAACCCTAAATCGTAAACCTGAACAACCCAGCTGCGTGGGCGCTCGGCAAGGCCAATGGCTGGATCTCAGCCACTTCCACAGGCCCTTCCTGCAAGCGGTTTGAGGGTATAGGGTTTAGGCTTTAGGGTTTAGGATTTAGGGTTTAAGGGTTTAGGGTTTAGGGCTTGGGGTTTGGATTTTTTTTGTCGGACTCTGTTCCTCCGCCTGAAGGCAAAAAGAATGCTCCTGAGGAGCAGAGTCAAGAAAGCGCATCGGAAATCATCTGCCAAAATGCCACCCAACTGCTGCCGGCATGCCAGAATCTCAGTAGCTGCAATCTATACGCACAACCAACTGGTCTCCCGAAAACACTGCTTCACATCCAACCAGGAACAAGCACTCTGCGGAAGAGCGAGCAAACAGGAGCTGCAAACCCTTGGCAGATAACCATGCACTACTATCGGGAAATACACTCTGTACATCCTCATTCAGTAGGGAAGGCACAGAAGCTCTGGCCAGCACACTCCAACCAGCGCCATAATCTCTCCAGCCGCCGCATCTATTCATCCGCTCGAGGGGCCATATGTTCACTCTCTTGCCTGCATGAGCCCTGCTCTTGGACCCTTCATCTGCATCTCGCTGTTGACGATCTTGATCTCCATATTGCAAGCCTGGTACACTGTGCTGTTCTTGGGCCAGCTCCCCTTGAACTTGTGCTTGGCTCCCGTCCACTTGCCAAACTGCATCTGTAATGCTCGTCAGCACGGTGTCGGCAGTCGTAGACCCACCCGCAAAGCACACCCTCATCCACGTCCACAGGCCTCGACTCATCCCTGTCCTCCTCGTTCTGCATTCTTGTTCCCGTTTGATCTTCCATGCCAACACGCCCTTGACAGGCAACATCGCTCTCCGTCACAGAGCCAGAGCTTTTGTCCAACCCTGGTCTCACAGGCGATCCGTGCCTGCTATCTGGTCTTGATTGGTCCTACCCCTCGTAGTCCACCTTCCCCTGCAGGACAGCTTTGAAGCAGGGGCACTCCCCTTGCTTTGACCAGGGATCTGGATTCGATCCACGGGCTTGGGGTTTAGGGTTTAGGGTGTGGCATTTAAGGTTTTGGATTTGGGGTTTGGGGTTTGGGGTTTAGGGTTTGGGGTTTTGGGTTTAGGATTTAGGTTTAGGATTTGGGCTTTGGGGCTCGGGGTTTGGGGTTTACTGTTTGGAAT